GATTGCTCAGATGGTGTTTTGAAAATGTAGTTATGTCCCAGTTCTAAAATGTAACATAAATGAGGAGGATTTTTGTAAAAGAAAAAAAAAAAAGAAGGGGATGCCCAGGCCAAACCCTTGCACCAAGAAACCCAAAATAAGAAGGAGTGCAATCCTACCATGTCATCAACCACCCCCCCAATGAAGAGATTTCTGAGAATCATGACCCCTGCTTCTGAAATGATGACTGCTTCTTAAATGGACAGTTCTATGTGGCCTGCTCCAGAGTGAGTTCATCAAGCAGCCTGGTGATCCTAGCACCTGAGGGCAGAACCACCGATGTGGTCTAGAAAGAGGTCCTTCAGTACAGAAAAAAAAGAACGTATGTCTCATTTCATTTCTTACACTACGATCTTCTCTGTTAGTATTCCTACATGTCACATATCAAATTTCACATCATCAGTGTTATAACTGTCCGGTTTATTGTGACACGCTGGCGGACACAGACCTCCCGGGGATGTGATCTGCGTATCAGCGTAAAGGGGGGCAATGGGTCGCTACCCCCCCCCCGGAGCCTTGGCAAAAGGCTCCAACCATGGGGCTTTTGAGGGGTGGCCTCTTCGCCAGCACGATGCTGGGGAATTGAGGCGCTCCTCCGCCCCGACGGTCCTGCCGCTGAGTGTCCGTATGGATCTAGAGCCCCTGATCGGGACAAGCGTCGGCGATTGAGCGTTTTGAACATCTGCCGAGTGAGTTCATATGACCAACAATGAACTGTGAGTCGGGTTAAAGCGAAACGAGAATTTTAAAAGAAAGCTGCCCTTTGGGAATGGCGAAAAAAGTGAGTCGAGGAGGGGGCCCTCCTATATGCACGAACTGAACAATGAAATACTAAGGGAGCGAAAGAAAAAGCATTGAAATCTCTTTTGAGAGACTTACCAGAGCGCAGATAAGCATGTGGGCATATTTCAGAGACTTTAGCAAGTTTTCATAAAAGTAAACAATCTATAAAGATGGCGGGGAAGAGGACAGAGAAAGACAAACCAGTAAAAGTGAAACAAGCCAGAATCTTGAGCCTTCGACCGGAAGAGACCACTGAGCTCTCCAAAATGTTGGCAGAGTCCTTGCGCCCTCTGCTGGACCAGATGACTAACATAGAACAACAGCTGACGAATCTAAATCAGAACCTTGCAACTCAGCAGCTCCAACTGATTGAGATGTTAAAGATAACGGAGCAAATGGCTGAGAAGGTGAAGGAAATGGACGCCAATACCAAAAAAGTCAAGAAAAAGGTGCAAAACCTGGAAAAGAAACAAGTCTTGGAAGAATCACAACTTTTACAGCTGCAAATGGAAAAAGCAAATTTGGTCCTACCGTTTCAAGGGGTCCCAGAATTAAAAGGTGAGAATCTAAAGCAACTCCTGAGTGAAGCATTAGCCCCAGTTACAGATTTGAAAGCGGAGTATCTTGCAAGCAAAATGGATGTGGTCTATAGGTCCTATTCCGTGTACATCAAAAAGAATAATCTGCCTGGGGAAATAGTAGTAGCTAGATTCTCAAAGAGACATGTGAGGGATTCTATCCTGAAAGCAACTACAGGAACACCCTTGAAAATTGGGGACAACACCATCAGAATTCAAAAAGATATTCCATTTGAAATAAGGCAAAAGAAAAAGAAATATAAAGATTTAATCCTTTTTCGTCAAACAAACAGCATTGTTTACAGATGGTTAATTCCAGAAGGAGTCATTTTCAAAATACAAGATAAAAAAGAAAAGATTGAGTTCCTGAGAGTGCAGCTGGGAGAGCCAGCCGAGGTTGAGAAGGAAGAAGATGACAGCAAATCTAGTGGTGAATTGGACTCGGTGTCTTCCGACGAGGACTCTCTTTCTGATAAGGGGGCGGCTGCCCCCAAGCACACATATAAATCGAGGATTAGAAAAGATAAGAAATGAAGGCTGAAGGACTCTGAACTGTGCCTTTAAACTTTAGTTTTATTGTGGGATGCTCTGGGGGTTCTCTTAAATGGTTAAAACATTGGATAAAAAGATTTTAAAAATTAGCATAACCAACTATGTTCATAGTTATATGAGCAATTCAAGATTAACATTTATATAAGCTGTTGTTATGATCTCCTATACTTGGGGTTTTAATTAGCTGTGGTTTTCTTTCCTTTCTCCCTAGATGTAGTCACCCCTTCCCAATTTTTCATTGTAGTTTGTAGTCTATTAAAAAAAATGCAATAAAAAATCCCCTCTGGGGGGCTAAAAAAATATATCAGTGTTATAACTGGATTTACGGAACTTAAATTCTGTAGCGAAGCATGGGTATCAGGTAGTGGTATAATATGATGGCATAAACTATTGAAAGTGTATCTGTTCTGAATGGCATGTCAACAAACACCAGTCTCAGGGCTCCCAAGTACTTACCTTAATTCTGCGGGGGATGTATAGTTCTTCGCAGGACCATTCCCGTGGGGAAAACACAGGCGCTGCACTATTCCATCGCCCAGACGTGATGTAGGCACGTAGCCGGGCGACGCTCTAGCAATGGGCCTCGAAACTCGATGGTACCATCAAGTTTCCAGTCCCATTACCAGAGCGTCGCCCAGCTACGTGCCTACATCACGTCTGGGCGACGGAATAGCACAGTGCCTGTGTTCCAAGCAAGAATCTTCCGGCGGGGAAGCATGTGTCCCCTGCCGGATTGTAGGTAGGTACTTGGGAACCCTAACCAGTCTTGCTGGTAGACACACATTTGTAACTGTAGTTGATGTTTACCAGTTTGATGATTTCAAGGCACAACAAATAGTGATATTAACACAGGGTGGAGCTAAATCACTTTACCACTTGTAGGCCCCGGTCACATGGGCCGGATATCGTGGGGGGCGTGGCTAATTGCCCTGGGGCAGTTTGATCCACAATTACACAATCAGACACGCCGGCGGCACACCACGGGTCCTTCCCTCGGCGCCAGCGGGTAAACGAGGGACCAGAGGGGAATGCCGCGCACCAGCACATTCACACCACGGGCGTCTGGAGGCAGCCCGTGGCAAATGTTTACTAGTACCTTGGAGGTACTCGTTTTTAATGCGCATTGTCGGCGGTAAGGCACACAGGTGCACTCCACTTCCCAGATGTTGGGTGTGATCGCGCCCGGATAATCCACCCACCATCCATGCCTCTCCCGCGGCAGCTTTGCCATGTGACCAGGGCCACAGTAGCTATTCCACTTCAGAAATGGTCACTTACCAGTAGAGTAATTGAGCAGCTGAAACACATGCATGAAAAACTCTCCTTATGGGTTTTTGTTTTGCTGCTTCTGTCTGTTGAAAGTGTTAGCAGAAATTACCATTAGTATATGGTCTTTATCCAATTCCAATTCCAATAACCTTTATTGGCATACATATGGTCTTTATCTTTTGTAACAGAAAACTATAAAATCACCTGAACTAATAACTAAGTCACCCAGCTCTTTCTTCTTCCCTGCTGCCTTCACCCCATTCCTTTCCAGACCTTTCAGTTAAAAGCAGAAGGTCACCATTTTCACAGTTCTCAGGACAAATCTTCACACCCAATTGAGATGGAAGTGTTCAAGTGATAAGCTTGCCTCTCTTCCAAATACTAGATACACATGACAAGGGTAAATTGCCTAATAAAAAAAACTTCTGTCATTTGATAGTTATCATTGTAATGTGAACCCTAGCTCTCAGTATTGTAACATCAATGCTTCGAACAGTTTCTTTGAAAAAGCAGCATGCAGTCAAAAGAACAACCTTTCTTAGCTTAGGGGCTTGTGAGGAAAATGTGATAAACATTGCATTTCAGTAAATTAAATAAGTGAAATCCACAGCGGGGCTTACAAAGCTGGTAAAATCATGTTCCAGCTTATCAAATTGTTGGCTTGGTTCATTTAATTAAAAGTTAAATTGAAGGCAGACTATTTATTCCTTCTCAGCAGTCTGACTTGAGATCTGCACACATCCATGGTTAGGTTAGGCTTATTTTGCTGTTCTTTATAAAACACTATGAGGTGACTGGTCTTTGTGGGGCTATAAAAAACACACCAAAGGTTTAGATGTGTTATTAAAAATAGTTCTTCACTGTCAAGTGTTGGCGTAGCAGACCCTGGAACATTAGTGAAATCCCTAGTTTAAGCTTACAGGGGTTGAGTAAATTAAATCAGGACATTTTGAACACAGATTTCCATTGAAAGGATTACATTGAATAATTAAAATCCAAATAATGGGGAGGCAAATAAATACATGGCATATGCTTCCTGCACCAGTAATAACAATGTTGTTAGTAATGCATTGTGTTGTGTGTCTCATTATAGGTGAATTTCAGCTCCAATAGTTTGGACCCCAACAGTACCTGCCATTCATAGAGGAATCTTCCATTCATGAAATAACTCCTTCTGTGAACAGAAGAAACCCTTCTATGAATGGGGGACTCCTCCTTGAAGCACTACTGAGTCCAACCCTTTATGGCAAGTTGCACATGATTCTATGTACTTTCCCTGTTTTCTGCCTATTCAAACACTGCCTTCTCTTGCTTGCAAGGAGGCAGAAGGTAAATGGAGACCAGTCCACAGAGGACCTCACAATGACATTTATGTTTCTGTCTTAAACAATGGTGGTTTTATTACTCTGAATGCTTAGAGTGGTATTACTTGAATTAGAAGGTTTTACTGTTGCAGTGGTTTTAGTCTCTTTTTTATTTCTTTTTTGCTTTTGGACACCACCTCAGGAATTTCTGTTTGGGGGGGGCGGGATAAGTGTGGCGTAAAAATCATTTTAATAGATATTTTTTCATCTGTTGGCTTAGTCTGGTGATTATTCTCTACCCAAGGCTGTATATATTTGCTGGTGAAAGTTAACGACGTTGGCATCATTATCTGTTTTAAGATTAACTTTGTTCCCTTTATTCTTAGAAAGGCTTAGAGGTAAAAGCAGATGTCTACAGAAGAGGCTAGCTTGAGGGTTTTTGCTAACCCCTCATATTTTCTCTGTCTTTCCACAGCCCTCTGCTCGCTGTCTCCTTCGCTGTCTCCTGTGCAGTTCCAGGACTTGCCCTGCTGACCTTGGGAGTGAATCCTCTTACTGGGACCCTGGGAGCCTTCAACATTGTCCTGTACACGTGCTGCTACACCCTACTGAAAAGAATTAGCATTGTCAACACCTGGGTGGGAGCCGTGGTTGGTGCCATTCCCCCCATCATGGGCTGGACAGCAGCAACAGGCAGTCTGGATGCAGGTGAGGAAATCTATGCAAGTCCATTGGACTGCAGGGTTAAAGGGTGAAAAGAGTCTTTTTGGGTTTTGTTCAACTGAAAGTTACTGTATGGTAGAAAGGAAGTCTGTTTCTTGCAAACAGATTTTTAAAAATCAGTATTGCTCAAGCAATCTAGGAGCTGCACTTTCCAGATTATATTGTATGTCACTCTCCTTGATTGACTAATGTCCTCATTTTAGCTGCTGCACTCAGTTTCTGAATCTCAAGCCTATTTTCCTTTCTCCTCTTGTGGTTACCTCCTTCTTTCAGCTGGCTTCTAAAGCTCTCTCTGATTCTTCCCACTTCCACATGTTCTTTCTTCCCTGTTCCTAATCAACTCTAAGCAGCCCCACTTGGCACCTTCAGGCCTTTCCTCATTATGTTTCGCCCCCCCCCCCCCCCCCGGTAGTTGTACCCACTACAGTAGTTGCATTCAGAAAATATTATTTGTAGTCTTCTTGTCAGTTTTCCTCCCCTACATCTGTGGTGACTATGCATATTACTTTTCTAAAAATGAGAAGAGTCTCCATGTGCATGTTGTCCAATTGCAGTTTTAATTCACCGGTGATGACCAGAGCATATTAAATAGCTCACACTTGTTCATTGCTTTCTAGAGGATTACATGCATTACATGAGTTTGGTTTTTCTTTGTAGCATGTGCCACAGAGTTCTGAAAATGTTGTTATCCTGAAGGGTGTGCTTTGTGAATTGATAACTGGCTCTGAAGTAGAAGTTGTGTGGACTTTAAACCTGGATATTGTATGTATGGATTAAGAGGAAAATTCAAGAAAGTCCTGACTCAAGCTTTGATGTAGTAGAAAGAGGCAAAAAGATTTAATGCAAAGTAGTTTGTCTCCATTCAAAAGTTTCATGTTCTCTGTACATTTTCTTAGCTTTTTCTGTGTATCTCAGGGAAGAATTCAAAAACCAGGAGGAAGCCTAGGAGTAGAATGTAATTTTCTGTCCCATGCCTTTATTTCTTGCTTCATGCTTTTATTTCTTGCTCCATACTCCCTGGCCTGCTCACCTCGTCATTGTCTTCCTCTACCATCACCAAACATCACCTGAGCACTTCTGTAAAGCACAGCCCATATTCCTTGAAAGCTCATTGTTGAATGAAACAGACCCTATATGAATATATGCAAATGTGGAAATACAATATAGATCACTCTATCTATGGAGTCTGGGTTCCCTATATGCAAAATTGTTTCCTATGTGCAGAATTGTTGTTTTGGTTTTGGCATAAAAGCACAGTAAGCATCTCTGCACATGCCAGAAACTAGCAAAAAAATGTTTGTTTACGACAAGACAGTTTAACTGCCTGCTTTTAAAACTCTAAATGTTTCATCTTCCCCCTTCCCTTCCTCCCCCCCCCAGCTGATTTCTTCATTTCAGCAGCATATTGATTAGTTTTTGAACATAGCAAGAATGCCTTCAATGTAGACAAATGAGGTACGCCATCTGAAACATGAGCTGACTCCCCTAGTCTGAGCCATGTTTCTGGAACGTGTTAGTCTTCCTTAATTAATGAGCAGAGGTAACCTGGCTTTAGGTATCTAGTGTGGAAATGCACTCGCATCTTATTAAAAAGAAAAAAGACAGACTACCCAACAGAACACCAACAAAGGATGTGAAGTAGGGGAGATAGAAATCTTGAGAAGGCTGCCTAAGATTTCATTGGTCTGCTATGTTTACATTTTATTGGAGAGTGCCTTCTAAAATAAGCAGTCAGTTTCTCCCTTGTTTATTATACTAGAGCTAGAAACTCAGGGTGGATCATCTTTTTCATTCTCCCTTTGGGCAATGTTTTACCATTAAATCTGCTGCTTGCTTCTGAAGGTAAGTGGAATATTGCCAATGCCACCAGTGTAGTTGAAGTATGCTCCCTTGATTAGTTCTGAGCATTTACATGTTTTTTTCTTAAACAGCAGTTCTGGAAGAAGTTCTGTCTTGTTAAACAAAATATGAACCTATTCTTGGAGAAGCTTGGTTAGGCTTAAACCAACAGGGACAAAAGCCATCACTTTTATTACCCATGGTGGTTGTAAGAAGCACAGCAGCAACACTCCTGTACAATCTTCCCTCTAAGCTCTGAGCAAAAATTCTACCTCATGAGTGAAAAAAGCTAGTAGCCTTAAAGTTGTGAGTCTACATTTGACTATCACATAAATTAGTTTTTTAGATTATTTCCATAACCTTGTAAAAATCTCAGGAGGAATTATTTTAAAGTATATTTAAACTATATTTTAAGAATAATTTAAACATTATAAGAAAAAAACAGAATCAAGTAAAATTTCATTACCGAAAATGTTGCCCTCTATGGGGATAGAGTCCAGGCCTCCAGAGAACAGGACTACCTACCCCTTTCCACTATATTGAGAGACCTGGCCTTGGACCGTCACCCTGCACTGACCCTTAGAAAACATAGAGTGGGGGGGACTCTTGCAGTCTACTTTGTTTTTGTCTCTGTGTGTGAAATATGACAAATTACAGGTCAAGTATAACAGAGGAGGAACAATCACTGTCAGAACCCTGCCTAACCTAACAATCAGGAAGTTATTTAAATGTTATCAACCTGCCCAAACTACTTTTTATTCAAATATTTATATCCCACTTTTCCTGTGACTCTAGGTAGCTTCCAATGGAGTGGGAAATGCCTTAATGTGAGCAGAAGCTTAAAATCCTTGAGCCAGAGTTAAACTTTTGTGCACCAGTCCTCCCTAGTGCAACACTGTTGTATTATAAGCACTCATTCAAAACATAGCATCATCAAGTTTGCATGACATGAGTCCAGAAGCCAGCTGTTTCAGCAGTTTCCAAGCCTAAGAAGACATACATATTCCAGTGGAAATACAGAGAGCTTCTCTTTCCAAGAAGAAAGTATATCTCCTTATTATAAAGCGCTGTTCGTGTCCACGCGCCCCCACAACCTTTGGCTCCCCCAACTGCCAGTCAGAATGGGGTCCCTGGCCACTGGCTGCATGACCTTCATCCTGCCCCTCCTCGTGCCCGCAGATGACCCGCCCGGTGGCTGCAGTGGGCTGAGAGCCGCTGGATGTGCAGGATGCTCTGCCATCCGCATTGTTTACAGGCCAGGCCCCACAGGAGCCAGCACTGCCTTCCTCCCGCTGCTGCCCCCATGAGGAGTCCCTCACTCGCCGCTGCTTTACCACGATGTGTGACGTGTGCATGCTTGAATGGGCAGTGGGGAGAGGGACGAGGCCAACCACCTTGGCCCACCGGGCCGGGGGGGGGAGGAATGAGCCTGCCTGGCTTGGCCTGCCGCCACTGCTGCCTCCTCAAATGCGCGGCACGGCGGAGGAATGCGGCCGGCCGGCTTGGCCTGCTGGCGCCTTGAACGGGCCGTGGGGAGAGGGGTGAGGCCAGCTGGCTTGGCCCACCGACACCTCAAGCGGGCAGGGGGATGAATGAGCTTACCCACCTTGGCCCACCACCGCCTCGAGCACACGGTAAGGGGAGGCACAAGGCCAGCTGGCTTGCCCACCGGTGTCTCGCATGGGCCACGGGGAGATGGATGAGCCCAGCGGGCTTTGCCCGCTGGGCCCTCAAGTGGGCAGGGGGAGGAATGAGCCCAGCCAGATTGGCCCGCCACCCCCTTGAGCATGTGCCGGGGGGAGGGACGAGGCCAGCTACCTTGGCCCGCCGGGACCTCAAGTGGGCAGGGGTATGAGCGAGCCCTGCCTGCATCGCCCACCGATGCCTCAAGCATGTGGAGGGGGGCCACCAGGGCGGCCAGCTTGGCCCACCAGGTCCTCGAGTGCGAGGTGGGGGAGGAACAAGGTCGGTCGCCTTGGCCCGCCGGGCTCTCCGGCAGTCGGGGGGGCATTCCGGCAGCCTTGGCCCGCCGGGGACTCAGGCAGCCGGGGGGGCAAGAAGGATTAGGGGCCCTACAGCCGGGCGGCCAAGCTAGCGCTCGTTGTCTTTATTGCTACAACGGGCCTGATTTCTAGTGTTTATATAAATCCTGACAGTCCATGTGATTGTAGCTTTGGTTATTTCCTTCTTCTTAACTCTGCCACTGTTTCAGAATGTATTTTCTTTTTAAAACCTGGGGAAAATATAATTGGATAAGTTTTTATTGTCAAAAAAGCACAGCACTTCTCCAGAAATCTACCTTTAAAATGAAAGCTGTTTCAGGCTATTGAGAAATCTGAGTGCTTCTATGAATTATGAATGCTGAAAGGAGTGCAGCTGTGGAGTCCACAGGTGTGAATTGTATTTGAATTCAGACAAAAATCATGTCTGTGGATATTGTCAGTATTTATTGCTTTTAAAACAACTTGTCCATATATAGAGTACCAAGATTTGAGTACAGTAGCATAAGAATATAAGAAGAGCGTTGCTAAATCAGACTAGCAACATCCTGTCTCACACAATGGTCAACCAGTTCCTCTGGAGGACCAACAATGGCATAGGGGTCAAGTCCTTCCCCTGATGTTGCCTCCTGGCCATGTATTTCCAGGATATAAGTTTTCAAGAGTCACAGCTCCCTTCATATCTGACAAAGGGAGCTTTGACTCTCAAAAGCTTGTACCTTTGAAGTCTTGCTATTGACTCAAATCTTGCTTTTCTGCTGCAGCCCAACATAGCTTCCCATATGAAACTATCTGTAGTGTATTTATTTTCATATATTTCTAGTCCATTTCCAGCTATATGTTACACCTTTCATGATAGGACAGAGGGAAAGCAACCAAAAATACCAAAAGGCACAGATTCTCCTTTTAAAGATGCTCTGATAACCAAGTCAAAATCTTCTCTCTTGCTGGCATGATATTGTGTTTGGTAACATATAGCCTTGTATGCATTTGTGTAAATAACTCCCACCCAAAAGGATAATAATAATGATAATACTAGCCATTTATGTTTTGTATTTTAAATGTTCAAAACGTTCATCAGAGGTTTTACAACAGCCTTGTAAGGCTGTGTGTGTTTAGTGCCATCAAGTTGCTTCTGACTTATGA